TCACATTTCAAAACAAATCATGCTTTTCCAAGAGTCCCCAAAAGTCTTAACTCATTTCAGCATTAACTCAAATTTCCACAGTCCAATGTCTTATCTCAAACAAAGCAAGTCCCTTCTGTCTATGAGCTTGTAAAATCAAAAGTCAAGCTAGTTATTTCCTAGATTCAATGGGGGTACAGGGACTGGGTAAATATAGCCATTCTGAATGGGAGAAATTAAAAACAAAGGGGCTGCAGGCCCCATGCAAGTCTAAAATCCAGTGACGCCGGATTTTAGACTTGCATGGGGTAAGTCAAATCTTAATGCTCCAAATGATCTCCTTTGCATGGGGCAAGTCAAATCTTAAAGCTCCAAATAATCTCATTTGATTCTATGTCTAACATCTGGGAAATGTGAGTTTCTATGCTCTTGGGCATCTCTGCATCTGTGGCTTTGCAGAATACAGCCCCCTTCCTGGCTATTTTCATGGGCTGGCATTGAGTGTCTGTGAGTTTTCCAGGTGCACAGTGTAAGCTATCAGTGAATCTACCTTGCTGTGGCACTGCAGAAAACTCATGCCTGGACATCTAGCTGTCTCCATACATCCTCTGAAATCTAAGTGGTGTTTTCCAAAGCTTAACTGTTGACTTCTGTGTACTCACAGGCTCAACACCACATGGAAGCTGTCAAGGCTTGAGGCTTGCACCCTCTGAAGCCACCTCCCAAGCTCTATGTTGGCCTCATTCAGTCATGGCTAGAGCGGCTGGGGAGCAAGGAACCAAGTCCCTAGGCTACATACAGCATGGGGACCCTGGGCCTAGCCCACAAAACCACTTTTTTCTCCTAGGCCTCTGGTTCTGTGATTGGAGGAACTTCCATGAAGACCTCTGACATGCTCTGGAGACATTTTTCATTGCCCTAGGGGTAACATTCAGCTATTCATTACGTATGCAAATTTGTGCAGCTGGAATTTTGTTTTCTCCTCAGAACATGGAATTTTGTTTTCTATCACATTGTCAGGCTACACGTTTTCTGAACTTTTATGCTCTGCTTCCCTTATAAACTGGAATGCTTTAACAGCACCCCCAAATCACATCTTGAATGATCTTTGGTTTAGCAATTTCTTTTGCCAAATACCCTAAATCATCTCTCTCAAGTTCAAAGTTTCACAAACCTCTAGGGCAGGGGAAAAATGCTGCCAGTCTCTTTGCTAAAACATAACAGTAGTCACCTTTACTTCATTTCCCAACAAGTTCCTCATCTTCAGTTGAGACCACCTCATCCTCGATCTTATTGTCCACATAATTATCAGTATTTTGGTCAAAGCCATTGAAGGAGTATCTAGAGAGTTCCAAATTTTCCCACAATTTTCTGTCTTCTTCTGAGCCCTCCAAAGTGTTTCAGTCTCTGCCTGTTACACAGTTCTAAAGTTGCTTCAACATTTTCAGGTATCTTTTCCACAGTGCCCCAGTCTATTTGCATCAATTTATTATATTAGTCCATTTTCATGCTGCTGATAAAGACATACCCAAGACTGGGTAATTTACAAAAGAAAGAGGTTTAGTGGACTTACAAGTCTACATGGCTGGGGAGGCCTCACATTATGGTAGAAGCAAGGAGGAGCAAGTCACATTTTATGTGGATGGCAGTAGTCAAAGAGAGAGTTTGTGCAGGAAAAATCCCATTTTTAAAACCATCAGATCTCCTGAGACTCATTCACTATTGGGAGAACAATGCAGGAAAGACCCACCTCCATAATTCAATCACCTACCACTGGGTTCCACCCACAACACGTGAGAATTGTGGGAGTTACAATTCAAGATGAGATTTGGGTAGGGACACACCCAAACCATATCACTGCCAGTATTACCCTGATATCAAAACTAGATAGAGACACATAAAAACAAAACAAAACAAAACAACAAAATACGGCAGATCAATATCTCAGATGAACCTTGACACAGAAATTCTAAACAAAGTTCTAGCAAACAGAATTCAGCAACACGTTAGAAAGATCATTGACTATGACCAAATGGGATTTATCCCTGGAATGCAGGAATAATTTTCAACAAATTCAAATCAATCAATGAGATAAATTATATGAACAGTATGAAGGACAAAAACCATACAATCATTTCAATAGTTGCTGAAAAGTATTTGTAAAATTCCACATTCATTCATGTATTAAACCTTCAAAAAATTATGGGTAGAAAGAACATACCTCTACACAATAAAGCCATATGTGACTGACTCACAGCTAGTATCATATTAAACAACAAAAAACTGAAAGCCTCCCTTCTAAGATAAGCAACACAACAAGGATGCCCACTTTCACTGCTGTTGCTCAACATAATACTGGAAGTCCTAGCTAGAGCAATTACACTAGAGAAAGAAATAAAGGTCATCCAATTGGAAAGGAAGTTGTTAAACTATACTTGTTTGCAGGTTGTATAATTTTATTTTTGGAAAAACTTAAAGACTCTATGAAAAAAATTATTACAAATAATAAATTTCATAAAGTTTTAGGATATAAAATCAGCACCAAGGCAGTAGCGTTTCTATATGTCAACAGGGAAGAATCTGAAAAGAAAATCAAGATAATAATCTCATATACAATACTAAAAATAAAATAAAATACCTAGGATTTAAGTTAACCAATAAAGTGAAAGATCTCTGGGATAAAAGCTTTAAAATATTAGTGAAGGATATTGAGGAGAACATAAAAAATAGGAAGATATTTCATATTCATGAATTGCAGGAATATGCATTGTTAAAATGTCCATACTACCTAAAGCAGTCTGCACATTCAATGCAATCCTTATCAAAATACCCATTATGTTATTCACAGAAATATAAAGAAATTTAACTTTATGTGGAACCATAAAATACTCAGAAATAGTCAAAGATATCCTGAGCAAAAGGGAAGAAAAGAAATTAATGAATTATGTTAACTGACTTCAAATTATACTATAGAGCTAGAGTAACCAAAACAGCATGGTATTGGCCTAAAAACAGACACATAGACCAATAGAACAGAATAGAAAACCCAGTGACATATGTGTGTGTGTGTGTGCACGTGTGAGTGTGTGTGTGTGTATATATATATGACATATTTTTGCCAATGGTGCTAAGAACATACATTGGGAAAGGGACAGTTTCTTCAATAAATGGTGCTGTGAAATCTGGATATCCATACGCAAAAGATGATGCTAGACCACTGTCTTTCACCATATGCAAAAAGAAAATCAAAATGAATTTTAAAGACTTTAGTCTCAGACCTTGAACTAAATAAATGAAAACATAAGGGAAATTCTTCAGCACATTGAACTGGACAACAGTTTCTTGATTAATACCCCATGAGAAGAGGTAACTAAAGCCAAACTGGACAAATGAGATCACATCAAGTTAAAAAGCCTCTGCATGGCAAAGGAAACAATCCACACAATACAGTGATAACCCACATATTGGAAAAAAATCGCAAACTCTTCATCTGACACGGGATTAATAACCAGAATACATAAGGAGCTCAAAAAACTCAATGGGAAAAAATACAATAATCTGATTTTAAAATAGGCAAAATACCTGAATAGACATTTCTCAAAAGACACACAAATGGCTAAAAGGTGTATGAAAAGATGCACAACATTATCATTATAGAAATGTAAATCCATAACAAGATATCATCCCACCCCAGTTGAAATGGCTTTTATCCAAAATAGAGGCAATTCCAAATGCTGGCCAGGTAACTGAGAAAAGGATCATAAAAAAGATCTTTATGAGTTGTTCTCATGAGGATCTGGCTGGCAAGTATCATCAGATGTGGGAAAAAGCCATTCAGTGAAAGCTTTTGTGGAAGCAATGATAAATGAGAATGTTAGTCTCGTGATCTCAGGGCCGTTGTTGACTGATTTTTGCACACATCTCCCTAACTTGCCTGATGGCACAGCCAAATAAATCTATCACTTCACCTTGGAAAAGATCCAGCCTAGAGTCATTTCATTTGAGGAGCAGTTTTCTTCCATAAGGCAGCATCTTGCATCCATATATGAGAAAGAAGATTGGAGAAATGCTGCCCAAGTGTTGGTGGGAATTCCTTTGGAAACAGGACAAAAGCAATACAATGTAGATTATAAATGGGAGACTTACTTGAAGCTTGCTAGGCTATGTCGGGAGGATGATGTTCCAGTCCAGGTGGAGGCTTACATAAATTGTGCATCATTGCTTCAGAATGAATCAGTCAATGAACAATTACTAATACATTATAAGGTATGCTATGCATGTGTTCTTGATTATAGAAGAAAATTCATTGAAGCTGCACAAAGGTACAATGAGCTCTCTTACAAGACAATAGTCCATGAAAGTTAAAGACAAGAGGCCATAAAACATGGTTAGCACTGTACCATCTTAGCATCAGCAGGACAGCAGTATTCTCAGATGCTAGCTACTCTTGAGGATGAAAAGTGCCAGCAACCTGCTGCTTATGGGATTCTAGAGAAAATGTACCTAGATAGGATCATCAGAGGAAATTAGCTTCATAAAGATTTTTTTTAAAACCAGTTTGAGGAGTTAATTAACCAAGAAGGATACTGTTGGAAGGGGCACCGCTGTAAAAATGTACAAAAGGTCTGAGGCTACATGAAACGGGTAATAAATATGTACATGTACATGGAATTCCCCTTCCTTGAGTCCCTCCTCTCCCAGACCTCAGAGGGCATGAGGACTTGGGTGGTAAGTGAAGGGAAGGGGGCACTTTGGCCTCTGGCTTAGTGAGCCCTTAAGGAGGCAGGCCCAGGGCCTAGAGGCCCTTAGAGAGGCAAAGGTGCTCCTGAGGAGGCTCCATGGCCCCAGAGATGAGCCATATTCCCATGTACAGAGGTCTCTGGAGACTGTGACCTCTGCTCTCCCAATGACCCCACAATCCATGTGATGTTTGGTCTTGTGGGGGTTGAGGCTTCTGTTCCATGATCTCATAGATGGCTGGTGAGGTTATGACCTTTACCCTCCAGCCTTGGCTTAAAACCTCAGCTCTAGGACCTGGTTTAAGGATGGGGAGATGGAGCTCGGCCCCAGCTCCTCCCCTCCCCTCACCTACCCGCGGGAGCTGGGCCAGGGCTCCTAGGTGGGGACTGGGCCAGTGGGGCCGGCACAAGCAGAGGTGGTGTCACTGAAAGGGCTTCCGGTGGGGTCTTGCTGAGAAGGTAAAGGATTCCGCGCGCTGCAGCAGGTGGTGGTGGAGGAGCCAAGCGGCCATAGAGCAAGGGGTAGCAACTTCCAGACCATAGAGGCGGGCAGCAGCCACGGCCCCAGGTCCAGTTAGCTTCTCACCCACCTCATCTCATAGAACCGGGGTGGCCTCGCCAGGCGTGGGGGCACTGCCAGCTATGTTGGCTCCAGGAAGCCAGCGCAGAGCTCTGATGGGCTAGGGACCAGAAACCCAGGTGACCCAGAAACCCGGGTGGCCTGGGCCTCTCAAACAGCAGGTGAAGGTCCTGGGGCCCAGTGGCGGCGGCGGTGGCGGTGGCTGCAGCATCCTCCTCCTTCCACTCTTCCTTTACCCACACGGATTCCTTTGATTATTATTTTTTCTTTACTATTTTATAGGTTTCACATGGATGTGTTTGCTCCATACTTAACAATAACTCTAGAAGAGAGGATTATTCTTATTTCTATTTTCGAGACAGGAAAACTGAGGTAAAAGGGGAAATAACTTGTCCAAAGTCACACAGCTAGAAATGGGAAGATGCAGGATGTGAGCCTGGCCATTGCCTCCTGAAGCCGCACTCCAAACCCCTGTGCCATAGGCCTTGCCTGCTGGCACAGGTGCCCTCCTTCCTGAGTTATAAACTGAACAGCATTGTAGACACGTGGTTCCTACCTCATCCCTGTATCTACTTCATGAAATTGGTGTTTGTCACCATTTCACAGCTGGGAAAAATAAGGCAGTCAAAATGCAAATAACTTGCCCATCTGCATAGCTGGGAAGTTCCAGAACAGAGCCAGTATTCAAGCGTTGGTCTGTGGGGGCACTAAAACCCATCCACCTTCTGGGGAGTGATGTGACCTGCCCAAGATCACACAGCTAATTTCAGTCTCCCAGGCTGCTATGAATCCAGCTCCAATATTCCCTGCACAAAAGCACAGATCTTCTCCATCTCCTCCATAAGGGCTTTTCCTGGATATGGGGGCGTTTCCAAGATCTCTATAAACTCGAGCCAGACATGTAAGTCATCTAAGAACAGATGTTTGGCAGAGGGCCCTGAAAGAGGAAAAGAGAATTAGCGTTGGGCTCAGAGGTTATTCCCAGAGAATCCAAGAAGCCAAAATAATCAACTCCCCTATCTGCGGGTATGCAAACTGCGGTCTTAGGAGCTCTATCTGAGTGAGCCCTGTGTTCCAGATACACCTGCCTACCTGTGAGCCGGGGTTTTCAGCCTGCCTGATAGGACGCCAGAAAGGGCCATGTGCTTGCACGCAGTGACACTTCCATTGCCACTTACTGGCTGGGCACATATATAAGGGGCACAGCCCTTGTGTACATTCCTTCCAGAGTAGCTGAGTTTTGGGGAAATAGAGGATCAAACATCCATTTCATATGCTTTTTTTTTTTTTTTTGAGACATGGGGTTCAAGTGATTCTCCTGCCTCAGCCTCCTGAGTAGCTGACACTACAGGCACCCGCCACCACACCTGGCTATGTTGGGCTTTTACTGAATACATACTATACGCCGTGCACTTGGCCTGGCCCTGGGATGCAGAGTGCTCTGGGACACAATCCCTGCCCACAAGAGTTTGGAAGTTTGCTGGGAGGAGAGAGGCACATAGGCAGATAACAATGCAGCATGGGGGAAAGACCAGGTGTGCACACAGGGCCGTGGAGCCAGAGCCCTGGGAGCCTCCATGGGGTTGGGGATGAAGGCACAGCCAGAGAAGATTTCTGACTGGCTCTTGAAGTAGGCACCTGATCGGACCCTGAGGAGAGTCAGGTGTTCGGGCGAAGGGAATATCGAGTGCTCCAGCATGGAAGCAGGAGGACACTGGCCTTGTCGCCTGGAAGCACTGGGCAGTAGGAAGGAGGGGCCAGGAGTGGGGCGGGAAGGGCATTGGTGCCTGGACTTGAATAGCCCTGCAAGCTGGGCTTAGGGGGTGGGGCTTTGGGCCACACAGGCAACAGGCACAACGGAAGGCTTGAAGCAGGATGCTGGTAGGAGGCAGTGAGAAGAGGGGTGTTGCAGTAGGTTAAGGGAAAGCTAATACCAGTATGCACCGTGAAGGAGCCATGGGAGCAGGGAGGAAGGGATGGATTTGCTCATCTGGAAGCAAAACTCCACATTAAGTGGCTAACTGGAGGTGGAGTGAGAAAGAGAGAGGAGTCCAAGACAATTCTGGATCTCTGGCTTATGAAACTGGAAGGACAGGGACTTCAGTCACCACGAGAGGAAACACATGGGTGAGTGAGAGTGTGGAGTTCAGCCTGGGGTATGCTCAGTTTGGGAGCCTGTGCCATATTCAGGAGGAAATGTCCAGGAGGCCTCTAGAAATGTGGGCCTGGAGTTTAGAAAGGAGGTTGGACAGAAGACATGGAATTAATTGACTCATAAGTCATAGAGGAAAACTTGCTCTGAAGATGTTAAGAACTCACACACAGTGACTGGATGTGATTCCAGACTATTGGACTCAAATACTGGTTCAGTCTTTCCACTTCAGCACATTCCTATCAGTAGCTATTATATCACAGCTAAGAAGCTACAAAATGCTCCTAAACAATCTCCTTTCTTTTTCCTAAAGCCTTCAGGTATAAGTTTGCAGTCAGATGTTAGTCTACCCAGTTTACAGAATTGGAAAGCTTAAGAATATGTTTAATAAGAATAAGTCACAAGCAAGTCTGAAATGGTGTCTATTACATCCAACCATGCAGCTATCTCTGGGAGAGTTGTTCCCTCAGCAGAAAGCTGGTGGTGGCTGATGCCAGTGGAAGGGACCCGAGGAACCATGTATGCATCTGTTGAGGGAAAAGCCATCGCCCCTTTGCCTTGGGTGAGTAGCATCTGAGGATGGCTTCCTCCTGCATTCTCGACAGCAATGGAGTTAGTGCACTGTGACACTAGTCCTCTGGGATGCAATGACATACACATTGATGGGAATATATATTATTACAGTCACTATGAAGTACAGTTTGGAGGTTCCTCCAAAAGCTAAAAATAGAGCTACCATGTGATCCAGCAATCAAAATGTTAGGTATATACCCAAAAGAAAGAAAATCAGCATACAGAAGAGATATTTGCATTCCCATGTTTATTACAGCGCTGTTCACAATAGCCAAGATTTGGAAGCAACAGACAGACAGACAAAGAAAATGTGTTACGTATGCACAATGGAGTCCAATTCAGCCACAGAAATGAATGAGATCCTGTCATTTGCAACAACATGAATGGAATTGGAGATGATTATGTTAAGTGAAATAAGCCTGGCACTGAAACACAAACTTTGCATGTTCTCACTTAGTGGTGAGAGCTACAAATTAAAACGACTGAATTCCTGGAGATAAAGAGTAGAATGATGGTTACCAGAGGCTGGGAAGGGTTGGATGGGGTAGAAGTGGGGATGGTTTAATAGGTACAAAAATAAAATTAGAGAGAGTGAATAAGCTTGAGTATTTGATTACACAGCAAGGTCACTACAGTGAACAATAATTTTTATACATTTAAAAACAATTAAAATAGTATAATTGAATTCTTTGTAACATAAAGAAAGAATAAATATCCTTGAGGTGACAGATACCTTATTTACCCTATGTATTATGCATTGTATTCCTGGATCAAATTATTTTAGGTACCCCATAAATATGTACACATATACATGCTATGTACCCGCAAACATTTAACATGACGAACATAATTTTCAAACCCATGTTTATGAAAACAAGCATCCTAATTTTTTCTAACTTTGTATTACCTTACATTTGCATGTAGTTCTGGCATTACTCTCAAATATCTGCTCAAATTTTTAAATGAAGGGAATGACTATAGTATTATTTATTAAACTGATTATCTAAATCCACTGAATTCTATTGGAATTGTTCATTTAATTAAGGTAACTACCTCTGTTTGTGCTGCTATAGCAATATATATGAGTCTGGGAAATTTTTAAAGAACAGTTTTTTTGTTTTCTAACAGTTATGAAAGCTGAGAAGTCCAACATCAAAGTGCCAGCAGGTTCAGGGTCTGGTGAAGTCCTGTTTCTCATACATGGCACCTTCCCTAGGTGACCTCACGTGGCGGAAAGGACAGAAAGTTAAAAAGAATACTAACACTTTTCTCTCACATGGCACAAAAGAGGAAGAGAGTTGCCTCACATCCTTTCACCAAGGACTCTAATTTTATCCATGAGGGCTACACTCTCATTACTACACTTTCATCCCTAAAATACCCACTCCTTAAGACTTTCACATTGGCAATTAAGTTTCAAAGTATAAATTTTGAGAGACACATTCAGACCATAGCAGTAATCAGATATAAATGAGTCTATTTCAGCACCCTTTGTTCTTTAATTTGATCATTTGTGTACCCATGTACCAACAGCACACAGTCTATGTTCAGGAGTATGGATATGTTAACATAACTGAACATTTCAATTTATTCCTATAGTGCAACTCTCAGTTTATTTAAGTCTCTTTACCCCTCACTGATAGAGTATACAGTACAGATGTCTTCAAAATTTTAATGATATGAATTTATACATTTTGTGTGATTTTTCTATTTTCATTTTGCTAATTTGTTTTATTTATTTTTAAATTTTTGATACTAATATATAAAAATACAATTACTTTTTATGTTGTATTTACCTTGGACAAACTTGATAAATTCACTTAGTAATTATGTTTTAACATTAAAAAGCTATGTACACAATCATGCCACTTGCAAATAATAAAGATTGCACTTCTTTTCCAATCTTTACGTTTTTTACTGCAGTTTTTTTTTGTTTTGTTTTTTATTCAATGGCTAAAATATCAAACAATGTTGAATAGAAGTGGTGATATTGGAGATGGACTCTTCCTAATCTTAGGGAGAATGTGTTCAATATTACGTCATTGAATACAATGTTTTGTGTAGTTGGAATTTTTTCGGTGATTTGTTTTGTTTTGAAATGGAGTCTCACTCTGTCATTCAGGCTGGAGTGCAATGGCCTGATCTCAGCTCGCTGAAACCTCCGCCTCCAGAGTTCAAGTGATTCTTCTGCCTTAGCCTCCGAAGTCGCTGAGATTACAGGCACCTGCCACCACCCCCTGATGATTTTTGTAGTTTTAATAGAGAGTTTGTTATTACCATGTTGGTCACACTGGTCTCAAACTCCTGATCTCAAGTGATCTACCCACCTTGGCCTCCCAAAGTGCTGGGATTACAGGCGTGACCAACTTCACCCTCCTTCTGTAGTTTAAATGTAGTTTTGATTTGAGAAAGTGTTCTATCTTTTATTTGCTGAGAGATTTGTCAAAACTGAATATTTGAGTAGAACAAAGGCTTTTTATGCATCCCATCTACTGAGGTTACTATGCGGTTTAATCATGCTAACTCAGGTCTCTCTTTCATCTTATAAAGCCATCAATCTTAGTAAGGTGATCATCTATTAATTTATTAATTCATTACTTCCTGATTAGACTAAGCTATGAGAGCAGAGCCCTTCTAATCACCTCTTAAAGGACCAGTCTCTCCATACTGCCACATAAGAGAATAAATTTCAATATGATTGTTGGAGGAGACAAGTAGTCAAATTATAGCAGCCAGCAAATTATTTTCCTGTAATATTTCTGTCAGGTTTGAAATTAAAGACAAGCTGACTGAAGAAAATGAGTTATAAAATGTTTCTTCTTTTCCTTTTCTATAAAATACTTTTTATAAAATTGGTATTTATTTCAGTGAGACTAATGATTACATACTTGTGATAGTTTAGTTAGCATCTGGTAAATCTCCATTTTACACATGATGAGGCAAACCTTTGAAGAAAAAGGGAATAGAGAAAACAGACAATTCAGGGAAGGTTGAGGGAAAGATTAGTCTCATCTTGTCTTTGTTTTGTGTCTGGAAAGATAAGTAATCCACACCATCAGTACAGAGTTTTTTTGAAAGGGCTCAGTTCTGTTTAGACTTTAGGGAAGAAAACCTAATGGCAATTAACAAAGTAGGGGATAGAATGAAGCATGCCCAACTTCTCATATGATCATTGCCAGGAACTCAGCTTCTAAGGTTTCTCTAGGGTCCTTTCTCCAAGAGGGGACCTGTTCAGCCAGTTGGGGGCTTAGAATTTTATTTTTATTTCTTAAGGTAACAGGGCTAGATTATTTTTTAGAGGATGGTCGTAAAACAATGTTTAAATTATAGAAACAATTTCTATTTTAAGCAAACATAAGATTATGATTATTTTCACTATTATCCTGTGCTTTCCTAAGAGTTAGTCTACTGCATGTTATATATATATATATATATATATATATATATATATATGTGTGTGTGTGTATATATGTGTACATATATGTGTATATATGTATGTAGAGTTTTTTTGAGAATCTTCTCATTATCTTTGAATGTCCATAATATCTGTAATAATATCTCCTTTTCATTGATGATATTGTAAACTATGTTTTATTTTTTTATTTAAAAAAAATAAACTTTTTACTTTGTTGTTTTTCTCTACTACACATCAGCTTCTGGTGACCTTGATTCTACTCTTACCTTTAGGAATTCTTTCTTTCTACTTTATTTGGATTTAATTTGCTGTTTTTTGTATCTGTTCTCAGAGCTCCCCAGAGCATTAATTTTAAAACTCCTTGTTTTATACTTTATACTACTTAATGTAATACATTTCTCATTGAGTACTACTGTTCCTGCATCCCAAAGGTTCTGATATGTCATATTTCCACAATCACCCAGTTCAAAATACTTTAAAACTTTTGCTTTATTTTTTGACCAATGGGTTACACAGGAATTTGTTGTTTAATTTCCAAATATCCAGGAATGTTTCAGCTAACTTTCTTTTATTGACTTATGTTTAATTTCACTGGTTTTAGAGATCTTTCATGATTTAAATCCCTTGGAATTTGTCAGATTTTGTTTTCAGCTGAACATACAGTAGTTTTGCTTATTGCTCCACATGTATTTTTTGAAACTACTTATTTTGCAGTTGTGAAATGGTGTTATATAGCATAAATCTGTTAAGTATGTTGTAGGATATCTCTATGTATTCTTATGTATTGTTTAACTGCCTGCCATAACTGTTAAAATTTCCAACTGTGCCTGTGGATTCATCTATTTTTTTCTTTTATTCCTGTAACTATTTGTTTTATATATATTCAACACTGTTAGTAGTTGCATAAAATTCTATCATGTTTTTCTATTGAATTTTTATTTTTATTGAATGACACAACCTTCTTATCACTCCGAATAGCTCTTGGCTTACAGAATACTTTGCTTTGTTCTACTATGCCACATCAACTTCTTAAAGTTAGTTTTAAGTGATACTTTTTTCAAGTTTTTATTTTTAATATATTTTGCCCTTAAAATGTACCTTTAATAAACAGAATTTAAGTCTTACTTTTCTTTTAAATCTTGGTTGACAATTTGTGTGTAATTCAGTGTACTTAGTCTATTTAATTTAATGTAATGGCTGGCCTAGCTACATTAATATCTATTATCTTGTTATATGTTTTTTAATTGTTTCAGCTGTTGTTATTCTCATTTTTTTCTACTATTTTGTGCATTAATTAAATCACTTTGAAATAACTTTTAATCTGTTTTCCACCTTAGGCATACTGAGGAGAAGTCTCAAGTTCTGCAAATTTTCCCAACCTTGCAAAGTTGTTCTTCCTACATCAAGTCAGGAGCTTCTTTCTTTTGTTTTTAGTTGCTTCCAGGTGTCCAAATTATGCCAGTTCCAACGGTGCTCTTGGTGACACAAGACAGAAACTCATCTCTTGCTGTGTATTAATATGCTGGGGACAATGGACACATGTCCCACTCTCTCTTGCTCCAAAGCAAAAATTGCCATCCAAGATGGTCTCTTGTTATTTGAATGTGTCCTCCGAAAAGTATCCTTTGGAAACTTAATATTCAATGCAACGGTGTTTGGAGGTGGTGCCTAATATGAAATTATTAGACCACGAGGGCAAGGTAAATGAATTGATGCCATTATTACTAGAGTAAGTTCATTATAAAACAGGGAGCTCAGCCCCCTTTTAATTCTCTCTCTCTCTCTCTCTCTGTTACTTTCTTGCTCCTTCTACCATGGATGACGCAACAGAAAGCCTAACCAGATACCAACCCCTTCTGTCTTTAACTTCCCAGCCTCCACTGTGAGAAATAAATTTCTGTTCACTATAAATTTCTCAATCTGTGGCATTCTGTTATAGCATCACAAAATGGATTAAGACATCTCTCCTGGTACTTATGCTTTCTTGTAGGAGGAGGTCATTTGGGTAAGTAAAATTTATCTTTGTACCTATTTCAGTGCTATATTTTCCTGCACTACTATAACGTTTTAACTAGATTCTGGAGTTCCCACAAAGGTATTTTGGTCTGTATGACATTCTGAAATCAATATATATATATATATATATATATATATATATACACACACACACGCTACATATATATATGCACATGTCATGTATATATATATAAATATATATACCCACCAAAAAAAATACTGTATGTGAAATGATTTTTCCCATATTTCAATGCATACCCCTCATTTCGTCAGGAACCAGGGAAATGTTTTGGTTTAGTATGACTTGATTTATTTTTTGTTCATCTCTAGTTATGCCCCCTCTTAGGCTATTGACTAGGAATCTGGCCAATGGTTCTCTTAAGGCCTGAAAGATTCCAGAATATTTAGTTGTACCATCCAGTAATTTTCATGTTAGTTCTTTATCCTACAAAACCCACATGGTTTCAAAATCTGAATAACTTGAGAGGGTGACCAATACTTTGTTTTTTCAAAGCACCTTTTTTCTAGCTGGATTTCATTTTCCCAAAACAGTAGGCTTCAGAACATTTTGCTCTGACCTTTAAAAGCTTTATCACAGGGTCTCCAGCATTTCAAGCTGTAAACTTAGTAAATGCCCCACAAAGAAAACTGGCTGTGTATGTGTGCTCTTCTGTACAGTAACGCCTCATGCCTTCCTGGACAAACATCAAAAGCATTGCTGGTTTCTCTTTTCCTTCAGTAGAGTTCTTCTGAATATTCTAAGCTCAGCCCTTAGCCTACATCCGAAATTGATATATAATTATACGAAGAAAGTGACTAAAGATCAGCAGTTCACCTGGGAAAATCTCAAAGTTGTATACAATTTTTGCCAATACAATCTTCTTCCTTTCATAGTAGTATGACATTTTTCAAAACGTGATTATTATAATTTATCTGTTTATCCAGTTGTTTCAATATGGCTTCTCATGATAAGCTAATCCTCTCTGGAGACATAAATCTTCAACTAGTGAATTTTACATATTTTTATATAGTCTCAAGTTTAAGTCTATGAGTTGTATGTTATAGAAACAGATAAATATTCCATTAGAATTTTTAGGAAAATTAAAATTATAATCACTGATGATCCCACTGAAGTAATTTAACACTTAAATATTACCCTAGAGGTGGAGGTTGCAATGAGCCGAGATAGAGCCATTGTACTCCAGCCTAGCATCTGGAGACAGGGCGAGACACTGTCTCAAAAAAAAAAAAAAAAAAAAAAAAAATTACCTAAAAGTCACATATGTAAGATATAATGAAATGTGAAATAAATAAAGAATAATTTCAAATATTTCTTCCGAAATATGATCTAAAAATATTGAATTGGTGACATATAACAACTCACATGTATTGACTGAATACTGTGTTGGGCATTAAATATTTATTTTAAAGAAATTATACCATTTTTGCTTCTAACAATAATGTAACTACATTGGATCTAAGATGTAGTTAAAATACTTAGTATCACAGCAGTAGAAAATAAAGAATATTGAACTTAAATCTAGTTCCTGGAATTTTCAGTTTGAATTTTTAACCCCTAAGCTCTAATTCATTCTAAGACAAAGGCATGGGGTAGATATTTTCTTATATCTTTCAGACTTACTATGACCTTGCTGAAACCTTGATTTGGACCTCCAGATTCCAGAACTATGAGATAGTGTAACTATAAAGTGGTTACCAAGTTTGTAATACTTTGTAACAGCAGCCACAGAAAACTAGTAAAGATTTTTATAATAGGAAGTGAGTTGCTACTGTTACAAATATAGATAATACATATAAAAATATATAAAATATATACAAATATATAAAAATGTAGAACTAGCTTTGGAATGAGTAATAGGTACAGGTTTAGATTTTGAAGGCTTTGATAGAAAAAGTATAGATGTTTTTGTAATATTTTGTAAGTGCTGTATTAATCTTATTTTGAGATTATGGCTAAAAAGCTCTCAATTTCCCTTGTGTGGACAATTTGCTAAACTCATACCTCAACTATTTCCCTTTTCAGACACTAACACTCCTAGATTACAACACATATATCCAACTGCCAAAAACCCTGATACTAAACATCTAGGAGGACCTCTTTCTTTGGGCCCATGGAATGATCGAAACAGTCAATCTACAGGAAGTTTGTTAAACCCTGCTAACCTAACCTACTTGCTATATGTAAGCCTCTTCTTACAATTTCAGCTTGCTGTTGCCCTTTTCTTGGATGCAATTCCCTGTGTGGTTCTGCGTGGCAACTTTCTCTCTTTGTGCCCCATGGGTACCTGTCTGAGGATGAAGGTGTGACAGAGGAGTGCGCCGACCCTGAGAACCACAAGGTCCGCCAGAAACTGAAGGCCAAGGAGTGGGACGAAGTTTCTGGCCAAGGGGAAGCGGTTTCGCGTCCTGCAGCCAGTGAAAATCGGCTGCGTGTGGGTGGCTGATGGGGACTGTGCGGACGAGGACCTGAAGGTGCTGCAGCAGTTTGCAGCCTGCTTCCTGGAGACTGCGCCCGCCCGGGAGGAGCAGACACCCAAGGCCTCCAAGCGGGAGAAGAGGGACCAGCAAATCCTGGCCCAGCTGCTGCCGCTGCTGCATGGCAACGTGAACGGGAGCAAGGTCATCATCCGGAAGTTCCAGGAGCACTGCCGCCGGGGACTGCTCAGCAAGCACAACGGCAGCCCCCTGAGCCCCTCTGCCACCTGCCTGCAAACCCCTGCCCCTGGCGAGGACGCCACCGTCCCCTCCAAGTCCCGGCTCAAGCGGCTCATTTCCGAGAACTCAGTGTACGAGAAGCGGCCTGACTTCAGGATGTGTTGGTACGTGCACCCACAGGTGCAAGAGATTCCAACAGGAGCACCTGCCCGTGCCGTGCCAGTGGAGCTATGTGACCACGGTGCCCTCAGCCCCCAGAGAGGACAGTGGTGGCATCCCCTCCACGGGGCCCGGCCAGGGTACTCCTGTCTCACTGAAGAGGAAGTCAGCAGGCAGCATGTGCATCACTCAGTTCATGAAGAAGCGCAGGCACGACCGCCAGGTTGGTGCTGAGGACATGGACGGCTTCCAGGCAGACACGGAGGAGGAGGAAGAGGAGGAGGGCGACTGTGTGATTATGGACGTCCCAGATGCTGCGGAGGTCCAGGACCCGTGTGGCGCCGCTTCTGGAGCTGCGGATGCTGTGGGGGTGGACACTGGCAAGGCCGCTCTGCCCTCAAGCCCACTGGGTGCCTCTTGAGAGCCGTGGTGACGTATGTGGAACGCTTAGGGCGTCCTCCCCCCCGGAGCAGATACTTGAACCTACTGGATTCCTGTGTAAAGAGCACTTTCAACTGTAATTAATAGAGTTCTGTCCATTTATCTATTTATGGTTCATTATGTAGTTTTCCACCAACGCAATCTAACAAATGTTACAAAAATAGAACATTGCTTTATTCAACATACTCCTGAAAGTCTTATGCCAGAGCAGTTTGGCAAGAGAAAGAGGTAAAGGGCATCAAAGCTGGAAAACACAAATTCAAATTACCCTTGTTTGCAGACTACATAATTTTACATTTAAAAAACCTCTAAGGAATCTATGAAAAAATTCTTAGAATTGATAAATTAATAAAGTTACAGGATACAAAAATCAACATTAAAAATTAGTAGAATTTCGATATGCTAACAGTCATCAATCTAAAAATAAATTAAGAAAGCAACCTCATTAACAATAGCTATAATAAGTAAGATAACCCAGAATAAATTAAACCAAAGAAGTGAACGGTCTCTATAAAGAAAACTCTTAAGTCCTGGTACAGTGGCTCATGCTTGTAATCCCAGCACTCTGGGAAGCCTAGACAGGAGGATTGCTTGATTCCAGGAGTTTGAGACCAGCCTGGGCAAAATAGCAAAACCGCATCTCCATGAAGAAAAAACAGCACAATAAATTAGCCAGTTGTGTTGGTTCATGCCTGTAATCCCAGCTAATCAAAAGGTTGCAGTGGGAGTATTATCTGAGGCTGGGAGAGTCAGGCTGCAATGAGCTGAGATAGCACCATTGTGCTCCAGCCTGGGCAACCAGAATGAGATCCTGTCTCAAAAACAAAAAAACAAGCAAACGAAACATGAAAACAGAAATTGAATAGGACACAACTAAAGGAAAAGATATCCTATAATCATGGAACAGATGAGTTAATACTTTTCAATGTTTAGGCTATCTAAAGCAATCTATAGATTTAATGCAATTCCTATCAAGATGAGAAATGATATTCTTCACAGAAATATTAAAAATACCTTAAAATTTGTATGAAGCCACAAAAGGCCCCACATAGCTAAAGGAAGTCTGAGCAAAAAAGAATAAAGCTATGGATATCACACTACCTACTTTTAAATTATACTACAAAGTGATAGTAGTCAAAACATTATGGTGCTGGCATAAAAACAAATGCATAGAGCAATAGAACAAAATAGAGAAGCCAAAAGTAAATCCATGCACTTACAGCCAACTAATTTCCAACAAGGTGCCAGGAATATAAATTGGGAAAAGGACAGCTTCTTTAAAAATGATGCTGAGAAAATTAGATATCCATATTGCAAAAGAATAAAACAGGTCTTTATCTCTCACTATATACGAAAATAAAAATTAATTCAAAATTGACTAAGGACTTACATATGAGACATGAGAATATCATACCATTATAAGAAAACATCGGAAAATGCCATAGGACATTGGTCTGGGCAAAGCTTTTCTGGAAAAAGCCTCAAAAGCACAGGCAAAAAAAAAAAAAAAAGGCAAAAATAGAGACATGATATTACATCAACTAAGAAATTCTGCACAATATAGGAAACAAAGTGAAAAGACGACCTTCAGAATGTGAGAAAATATTTGCAAATTATTCATCTGACAAAGTCCTTTGCAGGGACATGTATGAAGCAGAAAACCATCATTCTCAGGAAAGTAACACAAGAACAG